AACTAGGATCTCATCTTATTAAAAAGCTTCTGTACTTCCAAAGAAACCATCAGCAGAACTAAGAGACAACCTACAATGTGGGAAAAAATTTTTACCAGCTGTTCCTCAGACAAAGGACTGTTATCAAGAATACATAAAGAACTCAAAAAAATCAGCCCCCCCAAATATAAAGACCTGATTCAAAAATGGGCATCCAAAATGAACAGACATTTCTCAGACAAGTAAAAGCAGCAAGTAAATATATGAAAAAATGTTCCACATCACTGATCATTCGAGAGACGCAGATGAAAACAACACTGAGATTCCACCTCACCCCACAAAGAATGGCTGCTATCAAGAAATCACACAATAACAAATGTTGGCGGGGTTGTGGGGAAAAAGGAACCCTTCTCCATTGTTGGTGGGAGTGCAGACTGGTACAACAACTATGGAAATCAAAATGGAGATACCTCAGAGAGCTTGGACTGGAGATTCCATTTGACCCAGCCATCCCTCTGCTGGGTATCTTTCCAAAAGAACTAAAAGAATCATATCACAGAGAAGTATGTGCGCCCATGTTTACAGCGGCACAGTTTGTAATAGCTAAAACTTGGAAACAGCCTATTTACCCATCAGTTAGAAACTGGATAAAGAAGTTGTGGTTTTTCTATAAAATGGAATATTACTCAGCCATAAAGGATGAGAAAATGGATTCATTCATAGGAAAATGGATACATATTGAAGATATACTCCTAAGTGAAATAAATAAGGCACACGTGTAAATACTGAATAGTTTCTCTGGTGTGAATAATCTGCAACAATACAGAAGACCCTTATAAGATTACTGACATTGAGAAATGGGAAGAAAGGAGCTAAAGGTGTAGGGAAGATGGGACGGGTGGGAGAAGGGTAAAAAGTGAAAAGAAAAAAATGTGAGATAATGAAAAGATGGAAATTAAATGGTTGTAGATGGGGAGGGGAGGAGAGGGTGAAGGGAGGGCAGGGACAAGAGGAAAATGAGAACCAAGACTTGTCATGTAGATACAAGATCCCAACAATGAATGTAAATGTACTGTATCCCTAAAATGTACCAATAAACTCAATTAAAGCTGAAAAAAAAAAGATTTCAGATTAGAAAATAAAACACGAAACTTCACCCAAATTAAACACCTTTGAACCATAAACTTATTTTTAAAAACTAAACAAAATTTTGACTATTTTAAATGTCTGCTATGTCATTACATAAGTAATGTTATCCATGTTAAAAATGCTGATACTATTGCTAATTATAATTACTTAGTGAGTATACCCATTGTGTATCAGGCTGTATACACTTATACACACACACTCATTTTTTAATATATCTCTATATATAATTTAACATAAAACTTATTTTGCTTGGTTTGGAAATGGGGCAATCAAGGCTCAACAAGGCCAAGTAACATGCTCTTTGCAGTCAAGATTTGAACCCAGATGTCTATTTTTAAAACTCTACTTTCTATACTGTTTACAAAACCTAATAACTCTTCATTATGCTCAAATACAAGCATTTTCCCCTTTTACTCCTTTCCTCTTCTGCTTTATTTCACTCATCCTATATCTTTTTAACTTCCCTATATCTAAAACAATAGTAATTTCCAAAAGTACTTTTTAGTCATAATAGTAACACTGTATAAGCCAGAGTATTAGATTCTCTTATCCCTTCTCTTAAAAGATTACCCATTAAAATGACATAATGGGATGGAGATGTAGCTCAGCAGCACAGCACCTGCCTGGCAAGCATGAGGCCCTAAGTTCAATTCCCAGTACCCCTCACCAAAAAAAGACTAAGTGCTAGTTAAACACACAGGAAAGATCCTTTTCCAACTACTTACCGTGGAAGGAAATTTTATATCTATATTCACATCACTACTTTTCAGAGCGAATTTAGTCAAAGACGAGCCATACAACCTAAGTGAACATTCTAGAATAAAGGAAAAATATAATGCATGAAATTATGTGCAAAAATAGGAACTTTTTAAAAAAGCAGCAGGAAAACTGTATATACTTCAATTGTCTCTTTTGTGCTAATACAATGACTATAAAAGAACAGCACCCTTTCTAATTGATCTATAATAAGTTTCCCAGTGATGAAATATAGGACCAGAGGAGAAATTACTCATAAAAGTTATTTAGGAATGACTGAGACTATGTTTATCATTCAATATATACTTGATCTCAATGAAAAGGCCTAGAAGTAATCATTCTATATATAATAGTAACAAATAGCTACAGCTATTGTCACAACTTTATTTATTTATATAGTTATATTACATAATACTTCGAATAGGGAAAGATCAGACATTCAGTGCAAGTGCTGTTTAAAAAGATTCAAGTAGGCAGGGCGTAGTGGTACACACCTGTAATCCCAGCACTCAGGATGCTGAGGCAGGAGGATCACTGCAAGTTCGAGACCAGCCTGGGCTATATAGTGAGCTCCAGGTCAATCTCAACTACAAAGTGAGACCCTGTCTCAAAAAACCAAAAAATAAAATAAAATAAATAACCAAGTAGCTCCAGGCTTGGTGGAGCACACTTGTAATCCTAGCACTGGTGAGTCTGAGGCAGGAGGTCTGCCATGAGTTCAAGGCCAGCCTGGGCTACATAGTGAGTTGAAGGCCAGTCTGAATTATACAGTAAGACTGTATCTCAAAATTAAACAACACAACAAAGTAAAACCAACCCAAATGATGCAAACATAAAACACAAAAATACTGCAGATCTCAAGAATTCACAAAAAAACTAAATAGAACACCCATCTACATTATCTACACATCTTTCTTAGACAAACAATGTATTTCAAAAATCTTAATGAGGCATATTTAAAGGGTCTCACCAGAGGGCAGGATGGAAATAGTTTGTAAGATTGGGACTGAGATTTTTGAGGGGCAATAGTGGGGATTGAGCCCAGCACCCAGTGTATGGTAAGCAAGCACTCTACCACTGAGCTATATCTCCAGTCCAAGTTTTCCTTATTATTTTTAAGCTCATACTCAGCTGCATATATAAAAAGCTACTTTTCAAACTTTTAAAATGGCTGAAAGTCATTAAAATCATAAAAATTTATTCTATTCTTATGTTGAATTATTTTATACATAATTTCAATTATGATCCAATGTAGTATTAAGGTAGAGAACCGTACTATAAAGAAATATAAGGAAATAACTGTTTCTATTTTTCCATTTTTATTTTGTATTATTTCTTATGAGTCTTACAATGGCTGAATAGGAAACTATCCAAAAATCCCTTTGGTGATAAGAAATAAATATTATTTAAGATACATTTACTTAGGGCATGGGATTTAGTTCAGTGTTTCTGCCACCTGCCTTGCCCCAGTACCAAAAAAAAAAAAAAAAAACAGATACATTTACTTAAACCTTTATTGATACACACATAAGGCAAGCAAATACTTGATACATAAATAAAAAGCCAAGCAAAGACTTTGTATCCAAACACTTTATACATAAACAGCCAAACAAATACTTTATATATAAATGTCTAAAATAAATATGCCTTGGGCCTGGGATTTAGCTCAGCAGCTCCACTGCGTGCCTTGCAAGCGCAATGACCTGAGTTCAATCCCTGGTACCAACAAAAGAAAATAAATATGCCTTGAAAACCCCTTGCATTAAAGACATAAGCTTTCTCTAAAGTCCTTCCTTATTCAGTGACTGCTTCACATGTTTATACCAAAAATAATAAAATTTTTAAAGGTCCATTCAGAAATCAATGATACAGAAAAACTAATATACAACCTTTGACTACTAAGAAATTATAGCTGGCATTTTTAAAAACTTTTTTTCTCATTATGAAATTATGCTGTGCCATAATTCTCAATTTTCCTTTATGAAATATTGCACTCATTCATAATACAACCATTAGTAGCCTACTTTAAAAAATAATTTTTAAAAAATAATAATAATTTTAAAACTTACCTAAGTTCAAGAAGTTTTGTCACTTTAAAAATTAAATATATTGGGCCGGGGATTTGGCTCAGTGGTTCCAGTGCCTGCCTCGCAAGCACAAGGACCTGAATTCGATCCCTGGTACCAAAAAATAAATAAATAAAATAAAATAAACATAAAATGAGTTTACCTGGCAAAAAGGATGTTATAACCTTTGACATTTCCTCCACAATTTCCAGTCGAGCTCTGAGGTCATCATCTGTTATTCCTTGTTCTTTTGCAACTTCAACAAGTGCAACACTCAAAGCAGCCAAGTGGGCAGGGGAAGGTGGGGGCAGAGAACGAAGCTCACTTTCTTCCTGTTTTTCCTGTTAGTGTAATGTTTCACAACAACAACAACAGCAAAGTTTCTATTTTAATATCCTTATATTTAGGAGGAAAAGACAGAATTAAACAAATATTCACCGTCTATGCATCAAATAGAAAAAATTTCTACTTTTGTGAAACAGGATTGAAAGAATGAGGGTTGCTGTTAAGATTTTTTTTTTTTTTGGTAGAACTCGGGCTTAAACCCAGAACTTTCACACTAAGCTGCATCACAAGCCCTCCCTCATTTTGTTTTTTTGTTTTGTTTTGTTTTGTTTTTTAGGCAGGGTCTTACTAAATAAATCAAATCAGTAAATTGCCCAGGCTGGGCTAGAACTTTAGAGCCTCCTGCCTCACCCTTCCAGAGTGCTGTCATTTTACAGCTGCTATTAGTGTAGAGCTCCCCCTAGCGGACTAACTTTCAATTCTTGCTCAGAAAAACCCAAACTTTAATTCTCCAACTTTCTCATTCCCTAGACCAAATTCCACCTCCTACCCCAGTCTGAAAATTGTCACCCTGCTGTCCTGGGTCAGGCAGAAGTCTTTACTTTAGATCCCATGTCAATGAACCTTTCTGCCTTGATACATAGTTCTCAGGACTTAAATCTACCTGATTAGTGGATGCCACCATCCCAGGCTATTAATTTTTTAAAAATTTGTTCTACTGTATAATCTGCATAAATTCTGAAGTTCTACTTCAAAGCCAACACACTATAAATTCAACAGTTTGGTGATGGTTTTCTTGCAGCAAAGACAGTCTCTTAGGTATAGCAGAAGGACTTCAATCATATCTAATTGACATACACAGTGTCAGATCCTTAATTCTACCCACACATTTGATTTATTGCCTACTATTTACAATTCATTTTTCTGTTATTTTATCCCATGAAGACAATATGTTCAAACAACCTTTAGTCTGCTATAACTCTGAAAGCAAATTTAAATCAAAGAGCTAACAAGAGACTAAGTCATACAAGTACAGTGACTTTTATAAATCAATTTACCTGATTGTTTTTCTAAATGTAAATTATCAATCTACAATAAACAGGAAAATATAAAAAAGAAAATCACTGAAAATCTTTTATAATCTCATTAATTTTTAATGTAACAGCCTATTTCATTCTTTTATTTAGTATCACAGGCATTTTCTGTTAACAATTTTCAGACAAAAAATAATCTCTTGCAGGAGGGAAAGGGACTAAAAAATAATAAAAATAAAAAAATAATCTCGACTTTTGAGACACAGGGCTCCCCATCACATAACCAAAACTAACTGCTTCCCCCACCATCCAAATATGGTTAAACAAAGACTGTGGAGTTCGTTCCTAATTTAACTCATCGCTACCATATTCAGTCTCAACACAGGTAAAGTTTACCTCAGATACAGCATTATCAAACACTGTTGGTTTAGTCAAACATTTTTATGGGGGAGCTGTAATGAGGATCTTGGCACTAAGCTATATCTTCAGTCCTTTTATTTTTAATTTTTAAGAAGGGTCTCACTAAGTTGCTCAGGCTGGGCTTCAACTTGCTATTCTCCTGCCTCAACCCTAACAGAATTACCAAACATAGATTAGTCAAACCTCATTTTTGTAAGTTTCTGTGACCATTTCTGTATTCTTAGTTATAACTGAAGTCTTAGATAATTATCTAAATTTTCAGGGCTATTTTTTAAAAACTTCATGGAAAGAATAGAACATACTTTTAAAAAACTATAAGAATATACTGCTACAAAATTATACATATGAAGTACCACAAAATGCTCTGAATTATACTGTTAGATTTTCATGAAAATAAGAACATAAAAGACAACCAAAGAATTATCTAGCCATTCTATTAATAAGCCTATGCTACTTCCTTTAGGATACTATTCCATCAAATATTTTCATTAAAGCCAGGCGTGGTGGCACACACCTGTAATCCCAGCACTCAGGAAGATGAAGCAGGAGGATCGCTGCAAGTTCGAGACCAGCCTGGGCTATATAGTGAGTTCCAGGTCAGTCTCAACTACATAGTGAGACGCTGTCTCAAAAAAAAATTTTTTTTTTCACTGAAAATTTGCGTTATTGATCATCCTCATATATATTGTCACAGTGAAATCCCTGCCCTTATGTAACTTACATTCTAGACAAAAGGAAAAAGATACATGCATACATATCATGCCAGATAGTGCTATTTAAGAAAAATAAAACAGGGTACAAAGTTACAGAATGTTGGGAAGGGGGCATTATTTTAGAATAATATGGACAAAGAAGGCCATGCCAAACACATTACACTTAAGCGGGGATTAGAATGAAGTGAAGAAGAGCGGTATTTGAATTTCTGCAACAAAGTATTCCAGAAAAACAGGAAATGCAGACTCAGAGGTGAAAGAGCCTCTAATGTTACTTGAAGACACATGGTAACTGCAGCTAAGTAACTAATGAGGTAGATTAATTAATTAAAATCAAATATTGTATAATCTTATACAATATACTTTATTCCTGAGAAGCCAATGAAGGGACAAGAACAGAAAGTAACATAATATGACATTTTAAAACAGTAATCTAAGCTGCTAAGAGGGAAGGAGAATGTAGGTTAAACAAGGAGATAAAAATAGTCCGGTAAGAGAAAGTGACATCTTAGTTTAAAGCAGAAGGAAGAAGTGACAAATTACTGAATTTAGAATACATGGTAACTTGAAGTTAAAATCTCTAGGATTGGCTAATGGTTAGAATGAAAAGCTGAAGAAAAAGATTAACTGTTCACACCTAATCCCAGCATTCTGGGAGGCTGAGACAGGAAGATCACAACTTAATGACTTAACAAGATCCTGTGTCAAAATTAAAAACCAGAAAAAAAATTTTCAAAAAGGGAAAAAGGCTAGGAATGTAGCTCAGTCCAAGCACCCAGGCTTCAATCCACTAAAAAAAAATTTTTTATTAAAAATGAGGGAGTTAAGGGGAGAGAGAGAGATGAATCAAGAATAGCATAAAGGTGTTTGTTCTAAGCACTAGACAAATGGTGGTATCTTCTACAAAGATGAAGAAATTCCAGAAATAATGCTTAATAATGGTACTATTTATTTTCCCACTTAAAAACCTTCAATAAATCCTAAAACAATATTTGAAAATCAAATTCAGCAGCATATTAAAAGGATTATACATTATGACCAAGAGCAATTTACTGTATGCATGGATTGCAAGGATGGTTCAACATATCAAAAAAAAAAAATCAATGTAATACATATTAACAGAATGAAGAGAAAAAAACCTGCATGATCATCTCAACTGATGCAGGAAAAGCAAACAAAATCCAATACTCAACAGACTAGAAATAAAAGAAAACTACATCAATATAATAAAGGCCATATAGGAAAAATTACTGGCTAAGAAAATATTAAATGGCAAAAACTAAAAGCTTTCATTCTAAGAGCAGAAGCAAAACAAGAAGATTGTTTTTACTCCTTCTATTTAACATAATACAAAGCAACTAGGCAAGAAAAAGAAATAAAAGACATTTAAAGTGGAAAGGCTATAAAAGTATCTGTGTGCAAATGGAATGACTGTATAAGCAGAAAATCCTAGATCTCACACACACACACACACACACTGGTACAGTTCAGCAAAGCAGCAAAGAATTCACTGGGCTCCACTTCAATTGGGTTCCCTCTGGAAACATTCTTAAACTGGATCAATCACTGGACTCATGACATTTCATTCATAGAGTATTCCTTTGTCCTCTAAAACCATTGTTTGATTTTATTTTTCATTATTTCAAAGAGAAAGTAAACCTAATCACTTGTTATTCTAACTTCAATAAAAGCATCAGTCCTTGGTTGCTTTTAAGTCTGTTTTTCATTTTGGTTGGTTGGTGTTTTTATAATGTCTAAAACTGCCCTATAATGTCACTTTCTTTTTAAGTTTCTTGCTTGGAAACTTATTCCAGAGCGTCCTGAAACTAATGATGAGCATCTTTCAACATTTTCACAAAATTCCCAGTCATTTCCTAAACTATCACCTTGCACCTGTTCTACTAAATCTTCTAGACCTCTAATTAAATAAAAACAATAGGAAGCCAATTTTTAATGATTTCTAAGTACTCACTTTGCTTCGATGCATTCATTTCGTCAAAAAAAAAAATGTGTTTGATTCCAGTACACCCCCACCAAATGTACTGAGCATTTACTATGTGCCAGACACGGTCAAAACAACTCAAATTAAAAAGAAACTATACCTGCCCTCTTAGAATATTAGGTACTTTAGAAGAGTACAGAAGGCAAACATTAAATGTAGCATTTTAGGTTTTCTGATCAAGGTATGAAGGGCTATAATGGGAACATAAGAAAGTACAGAGATGATTTCTCAGAGAATAAGTATCTGAGCTGAAATTTAGAGATGAGTAAGAGGTTACACAGTATTAGTATTGTAACTTTAAAAAGAAAATATTCATTTATAGCAATAAAATATTTTAATACAATAACTGAAAGATTACAAATTCCCCAAGTCCAAAGTTTATATGAGGCTCCACATGGTCTATATGTCTCCGGCCTCATGTAAAACCATTTTCCCACTAGTTCTTTTCTCCAGTCTTAACTAAATTCTTTCAATTCCTCATATGCCATGTACATTTTTCTGTAGAGACCTTTATTTATGTAGTTTCATGTAAAATGTTCCTTCTTTTTGACTTTTATACCACCCCTTCAAGGTTCAACTTAAATACCATCTTCTCAAAGAAAAGTCTTGTTCTAGACCAAGTAAAATATCCTTGCACATTTCCTTAGAACCACATCTCCCCCTTTAATAAAACTCATTATACTTGAACCTGTATTTACCAATCTTAGAAATTCTAAGGACAGGAGGAACCATGACTATCATTCACCACTGCCTAGACCTAGCATGCAAGTATTCAATAAATACTGGTTGGGTCAACACATTTTACCCAACAGCTTTAAACTTTGGAACAAACATTCCTATAGATGAATAAACTAGGCTCAAGAAAGTTGACCTCCTGACTACTTGAGATAAGAAAAACCAATCATAGCTTTCAAACTGTCACTTCAGCTATGAAGACTGGAAAAATACCTCGTCTTTAGTTTCATAAGTAAAAAGTACTTGATATAGTTCTATCATCCAAAAAGATAAAAAAAAAAACTTACCAAAATATTTTTCTTGTGTCGTTTCTCTTTTATATGTTTATGAGCTCCCTGGATGTTCTCAATGTGAATTAAGCAAAGTTTGCATAGATATCGGCAATTGGTATATTCTGGTGATCGCTGAAGAGACAAGATTAAAAATGCATTATTTTCAGAAAACAAGAGAGTAAACTATTGACTAAAGAGCAATGCAATTACGTAAATATAAGACAGAAATAAGCACTGAAAGAAAAAGTTTTTAATAAATCAGTACTTATATACCTAAAAACAGTCCTTTTCAAAATAAGTTACCACAGGAAATCATAAACTAATTTCAAACAATGTCATAATAATAGTATGCTTATTATTAGTGTAATACTTTCAGAACCAAATGAAGATTTAAAAAAGGCAGTCTTTCAAGACCAGCCTGAGCTACATAGTGAGTTCAAGGTTAGTCTCACTACATAGTAAGACCCTGCCTCAAAAAACAAAACAACAAGCAAACATAAATAAATAAATAAAGGCAGTCTTAGTCTTATTTCAGCACTGTCTCCAAAACTGATTTCAAACCTCATTTTTTCATTACCATAGACAATAAAATCTAAGGGTCGGGGGATTTAGCTCAGTGGTTCCACCACTGGCCTCACAAGTGCAAGGTCTTGAGTTTGATCCTCAGTACCAAAAAAAATTTTTTTTGCTCCAAAGAATAAAATCTAGCCTCATTATGGATTTCAAAATAGATCAAAAATATGGAAAATAATTTCAAAAGCTGAGTTCTAAAAACACTCTAAATCAAGCCAGGCGTGGTGGTGCACACCTGTAATCCCAGCACTCGGGAGGCTGAGGCAGGAGGATCACTGTGAATTCAAGACCAACCTGGGCTACATAATGAGTTCTGGGTCAGTCTCAACTACGCAGTGAGACCTTGTCTCAAAAAACCAAAAAACCAAAACAAAACAAAAAACACTCTAAATCAATCATAATATCATAGGAACAAATGCATAACATCTTCAAGTAACTACTCTGAAGGGAATGACAATTTTGACACATTAAAGTATTAGTCACAAGAGCCGGGGATTTGGCTCAGTAGTTTCACTGTCTGCCTCGCAAGCACAAGGGCCTGAGTTCAATGCCCAGTACCAAATAAATAAATAAATAAATAAAGTTATCAGCCACTGTACTTTACCCATTAATATATATATGTATACTCAAAATAATAATGAAACACTAATTATTGATTGCCTGCTGGGGTCAGAAATTATGCTAGTTGTTTAATATACAATTTGTAGTTTGAATTCCCCTAGTAATCCAGTAAGATTGGTATTATTTTCATTTTACAGATTTACAAACAAAAGATCATAAAGCTTGCAATTTTACAGGTATACAGTAGTATTAAGTAGGAGATACTGAATTTATACATATCTGAATCTGAAGCCAACATTCCACCACAAAATTGAAAAATACAAGGGTAAGAAATGTAGCTCAGTGGTAGAATGCATGTCCAATATGCATGAGATGCTGAGTTCAAACCCAAGAGCCAGAAAACATAACATTGCACAATAAAAAATTACAGGGCCGGGGATTTAGCTCAGTGGTGCTGCTGCCTGCCTTGCAAGCTTAAGGTCCTGAGTTCAACCCCAGGTACAAAAGAAAAAAATTATAAAAATACAACAAATAGATGCTGATTATTTTCTGAGACAGGGTCTCTCTATGCTGCTACTGAATTTTAAAACATGGTTCTAATACCTTACACAGAAACAAGCAATGTTTAGTTTTTATTTCACAGTGTGATCTTCAGTGTTCAATAAGCAGCTCCTGACAAAAATATTCTCTCACCTCAAAAGATATAATTTTCTTTAAACTGGAAACTTGCCCCACAATTTAAAATAAAACGCAACATTTTGAAAAAATACCTGCTAACCATATAACAACTCTACCTGGTTCTCTATCTTACTGGCAAAGAACTAAATCTCAAGGACTAATTAACTTGCTCAACGCAACAAGAAATTGAAATTTAGCTCAATCTAGTTCTTCCAACTTTTTATTATAACATTTCTTTCAAATTAGTTCTAAGACAATAGGTTAAGCCACTATAGAGAATCCACCTCTTCAATTTGCAACTCAACAATTTCTTTATTCACTAAGTATTTTCTGTGCTCAAATTATATATCAAACATTTTTCTAGGAAGTGAAAATATCAATAAACAAAACAAATACAAATTCCTATATGTATTTACAGTTAGTGTGGCAAGATGGATAATAAATGTACAAACAAATGAACAGAAATATAGAATGGAAGATTTATTGCTTTTTTAAAATAGGGTCATCACTGAAGTCCTTGATTAAATTATTTAAAGGAAGCATAGGCTTGAGTTGTATGGATATTTGGAAACAGACTTTCTAAGCAGAGGAAAAAGTGTATGATAAGGCAGGCCCACTCAAAGGTATAAACATGCCTAAAATACATGAAAAAATATACAAACTCTGGTATGTATATATAACGGGGGCCAGCTTTTATTGTAAATGTGAGGGAAACCCATTCAAAAGTACAAGATGTCATCTACATTTAGAGAGGGTATATTTTAGAAGGATCATTTGCCTCCAGTCTTAAGAACAGAAGTAAGAAAAGCTTATTGCAAAGGCTGGGGATTTAGCTCAGTGGTACCAACTCCCGCCTTGCAAGCACAAGGTCACAAGTTTGACCCCCAATACCAAAAAACTTATTGCAGTTATCAGCATACTACAATAATCCAGAAAAGATAGTGAGAGTAGTGGAGATGGTAAAAAGAGTTGGATTCAGGAGTTGGAAACTTTATAAAAGAATACCAAAAACCACCTAGTATAATGGGGCATGCCTGTAATCCCAGCTATTGGGAGGCTGAGACAGAAGGATCATCATGAGTTTGAAGCCAGCCTGGGCTACATAGCAAGTTTAGGGCCAGCTTGAACTATATAATAAGAGACTCATCTCAAAAATTTTAAAAATTTTTCTTTAAAAAAGCTATGAATATTGATAAGCCATAACTAAAGGAGTCATGAAATCAATTACATAAATTTTTAAATTATAAATGTTAATAGACAAGGACATATCTAGATTCTTTAAGAAAAACTTGTTAGAATACTGAATGAGTCAGAAAGCCTAGAATGATAACCTCAACTGACTCTGAATAAATATTACTGAAGCCTTTTATCTCTTTATAATAAAAATTATGGGTAAAGTAATTCAATTCTACACATAGCTAATCTTTATTTAGTGCTTACTATATAATGACTGGGTCTTGGGGCCAAAATATCACGTTATTTAATCCTCATGAGGTTATGAGATTACTTTTATCAACCTCATTTTATTGATGAAAAAATTAAAGTTTAAAAGGTTAAATAACGTATCCAATGTTATCTAACTAGAAAGTAGCAAAGCTAGGTCCAGTAACTCCAAAATCCATGCAGGTGACCACTATGTTCAATACCGCTAATTGTAGGCCAAATGCTATGTGCAAGGCACTTAATATCAAATAAAACAAAATATCAAATAAATCAAAAATATCTTCACCATCATGAAGTTTGTAGCTTCACAGAAGAGACATACGAAAAATGTTTAAGTATTTCTTTTATTATAGTTATAATATTCTGTTTACCACTAAAGAGTCTAACCCTTAAACTTCTGTAGACAAGCTAAAATAAAGATTTCTGTGGCATGGTGACTATAAGTACTTCCCAGGCAATACTTAACAATCACTGAAGGGAAATTTACCCTTCTGATGTAATGATCTGGACCTAAATCTTCTTCAGTACAGGGCAAAAATCTACATCATTATTCTATGGTACATCATGAACCAAAGGATCTGATAAATTAAAAGTTCTTACAAATAATGCTCTTGATGACAGTCTAATGTTGGTACAGATAAATGTTAAGTACACGAAATTAAAAACAAAGTCTGGAGGGTATGAGAAACAAAAGGGGTATAACAAAAAAAGGGATAAGAAACACCTGATACTGGCACAGTGACTTTACAACACTGCTGAAGGTCTAAACTGCACAATGAATAAAGTATTTCTAATGCTCCTAAGCTTTCCTTTCACCCCAGTCAATTCCTACTATCCTCAAATACCCACTGCACCCCAATCTCTTTCTTCTCCCAAGAACTGACTTCTCTTGCTTCATTCCTATGAATCTTCTCATACAGCTCCCTGCTTATTTTTCTTGAAAACATACATTATTTTAATACATGCCATTTAATACTGTACATATACCTTAAATACCCTCCCCCTACACACCTGATGAACTCCTTCCTAGCGTTTCCTTTAGTGTCCCCTCAAATGTCACTTCCTTAAGGAGAATTCACAAACTGAAAATTCTGATATCCCCAACTCAGGTTGGTCACTCTTTTGTCTATGATCCCATTTTCAAACCTTACTACTATTAATACTATTGTTTGCTTACATGTCTTTCTCTTTTGTGTCTGTTGTTTTGTTTTGTTTGGTACCGGGGATCAAACTCGGGACCTTGCACTGGCGAGGCTGGCAGCAGAACCACTGAGCTAAATCACTGGCCCTACATGTCTTTCTCTAACTACTAAACTTTTAGAAAACCAGTATCATGTTTTTTTAAAATGTCAGGCCTGCTCCAATTCAACCTTTTATTACCAGATCATGACATATAAAAGACACTCAAGATTTATCCTGACAATAAACACTTCTAGTAATAACTACTAATTCTAGGCTTAGGAAAGGGAAACTGAGAGAACCAAGCAAAAATACAAGTAACTAAAATAAATAATTACAAAAAAGACTTCCTTCTAAGTAGGAGATGGTGAGACTAGCTAAATACATAAACTTCTTACATTCTAAATTCTACTCCTTGATATTCCTTTTTCATATAGTGACTGTTTGATCCTAAATTCTTCTTTTTGGGGGTATCAAGGATCGAACTCAGGGCCTTATGCTTGCCAGGCAGGTGTGGTGCCACTGAGCTACATCCCCCAGGTCCTGTCCTAAATTCTATTAATAATCCAGGATTACCTTCCTCACTCTAGGTATCATCTAATCTATCTAAACTACATAAAAATCATATCACTTCCTTCCTCCACCACCACTCCCAGTACTGGGGATTGAACCCAGGACCTCACAATGGCAAACAAGCTAGACAAGCACTCCACACTGAGCTACATCCCAACTCTTTCTTAGTTTTTCAAGGATTACTTATTTCCTTGTATGTACATTCACAAATATCTTAAGAATCTATTTGTGAATAGTTTGATTTGTAATTCTTTGCTTTAATATGTAACTAGTGTTTTTATTATACAGGTTAAAATGTATATTTCTGGTTAAGAAAATAATCAGTACTAAGAAACAAGACACCAGTGTTCCTAGTTGTAATGTTCAGAAAACATGGGAGGAAAAAAAAAAAGGAAAGGAAAGGGGAGAAAGTCCAATAATTTGAAAGTAATATGTCAGCTTATTATATCAATCCAAATGAACTTTTAACTTCGAATAGAAACTATGCCATTTTCACCAATATATCCCCATCGTCCTGTTCAATATCTAGCATACAGGAAGTGCTCAGTATTTATTTAATGAGGGAATAAATCAAAGATCAGCAAATATTCTATAAAGAGCCAAACTAACATTCTGGTAAATATTTTATGCTTTGGAAAACTATTATTTCATACTTTGCAGGCCATATGATCTCACTGGCATCTATTCAATTCAAGTTTGTCATAGAAATATGAAAGCAGCTACAGATAATAAATAAACTAATGAGCAGTACTATGACTTAATAACTTTCGTTTTCGAAAAGAGGGCTAGGTTTATCATATTCAAAAACAAAACAAGGAGGTAAGCCAGTTTTCTGAATCCTGCAATCAATAGATGAAGTCAGGGTCACAATGTAATTCCTAAACAAAGGGAGGGACATTTTAAAAAAGGGGGTGGGGGAGAAGGACAAATGAAAAAGGAAAATAAAGAAAGATGAATGCTACACCTGTCTTATCAATGAAAGAAAAATGAAAAGAGGCAGGGATTTAGCTCAGTGGTACTGCTCCTGCCTCGCAAGTGCAAGATCCTGAGTTCAAGCCCCAGTACCAAAAAACAAAACAAAAACCCCCGATAGTCCACAAGAAAAATAAAAAGAGCCATACTTAGAGGAAAAGTTATAAAATACATATTTCCCTCCAAATAACTAAAATAACACCGTGTACTTTTTCAAGTCGAAAGATGTGATCTCTTTCTAAACGTTCTTCTGCTTGTTTTAAGCCTAGCCTCTGCTCAGGTGTCAATGCAGATTCATCTATCACAGTGGCATTTTCCAAGTAACCCATTTCTGAAGAATTTTCTTTATTAGATTCATCATTCTTCATTTTCCCTAGAAAAGGAAACAATCAGTTATCATTATCAGAAATAGTAAATTTTATACAGAAATTAATGAAAAAGACATTAAATTTACAAACATACAGAAAAAAATATCCGTTCCTTACATTTTTCTTGGTTGTCCAAGTTGTTACAAATAGGTAAAATAAGAGATATACATGATATCAAAATTTTCAAGAGTGGCCAGGTATTCAACTCAGTTGTACAGCACTTGCTAGCAACCACAAGGCCCTGCGTTCAATCAGTAGGACCACCATCCTGTGCACAAGCATGTGTGCACACACACACACAAAAACACACACACACACAGAGTCTACCTTTATAGTAAATTGCTAAATTTAATATTGTTGCCTGAAATGTCAGTGCTTTTATGTTATTCCCTCTTCCATCAATGCCTTCCCAATTCAACTAGCAATATTTATGTGCACTGCAAAATTCAGCTTATGTACAACCTGTACTAGAAGCCAAATTGATATTCTCTACATTCTCATTCTTCATTATCTCACATTTACAAAGTAATGAAGGTTATACTTATTTATCTCTTACATTAGAGTTAGATTCTTTGATGCTAATGACCAGGTCTTATTTAACTTTGTATTTTCAGATTTTTATATAAAGCCTAGGCCAAAATTTATATTTTAGTAAAAGTAGTCAAATAAAGAATTTGAAAGTATTCTAAAAGTGCTTCAGACTGGAGATATAGCTCAGTGGTAGAGCACATGCTCACTGTGCACTAGGCCACCAGTGGGGTGGGGTTGGGGAACTGGGAAGCAATGTTTATAAATAATCAACAAATACACTCCTCAAAAGCCAACTACATGCCATCTAGTAGAACTCTGACAATCTACTCTACCTTTGAACGTTCTAATTTAAGAAATGATATGCCTCTAGAAATGGTACATTTCCTATCAAAGGGCACAGGAATTTCTAGAATAAGAAGGCAAACTTAGATAAGAAAGTTATAAAAACCCTAAGTGTGGCTAAATTAGATTATTTCTTAAATTATAATATGAGCAATGATCGTATAATTTTTAATTATATCCTAATATTTAGGGAAAAAATTTTTAGTGACCATTTTATAATGGAACTGAAAGATGAAATTCTAGTTATATTTTATATTTCATGAAAAAGAACCATAACAAGACAACATAATTTTCTCTATAAATTTGTTCAGCATGACAACACCAGCAAATCCTGTAAAATTATCTTTTCTCTGCCAATATTGTACAAAGAATCAGAATGTTGTTTCTTTTTGGTACCGGAGATTGAACTCAGGTCCTTGAGCTTGCGAGACAGGCAGCAGAACCACTGAGCTAAATCCCCAGCCCTAGAATGTTCTTAAAAGTCAGAAATAAGTGAAATTTTTTTAATTTTCTAGAATTACCATATAAAATAATACTAGGCAGAAGGTCCCAAATTGTGTTCCACAAAATATTATGAGATGGTCCATGAGATGTTAATACCCTCACAAAACAAGAGTAGAAAACCTGAATGTTTACATTTTCTCAAGTTCATTATCTCAGGTATTTTGTTATAGTAACAGAAAGCTAACATACCTACTATGTCAGGTACTATACAGAACACTTCTGGATTATTTAAATTAACCTTCATAACATAAATAGCATCATTTCCACTTTTTAAAAAATGAAGAAACTGAGATGTGCTTGCCAAGGCTAGTCTTGAGCTCATGATCTTACTGCAAACTCAGCCTACCACCAAGAGTAGAACTCATGAGTTTAGATTCTTTTTTTTTTTTTTTTTTTTTTTTTTTTTTTTTAACCAGGGATCAAACTCAGGTCCTTGTGCTTGCAAGGCAGGCACCAGAACCACTGAGCTTAAATCCCTAGCCCAAACCTTTGTTAGTCAAGTCTTTTTTTTTTGTTTTTTTTTTGGGGGGGGTACTGGGGATCGAACTCAGGTCCTTGCACTTGCAAGGCAGGTGGTGGAACCGCTGAGCTAAATCCCCAGCAATTTAAGAGGTTCTTTAACCTTGGCCTCTAATAGCTGGACTATAGGTGCCCAGGCCACCAAATCCAGCTTCAATGATCTTAAGTACCACCCTTTTCCCAAACTTCAATCATTCATACATCATGATGTTTAAGTTTTTGCCATATCTAAATGTTACCAATATTTTTTTTAGGGGGGTACTGGGGATTGAACTTGGGATCTTGTGCTTGCAAGGCAGGCAGCATAACCACTGAGCTAAACCCCCAGCTCTAATATTATTATTTATTTGATACTGTCTCTAAATTAAATTAAGTGTTAAACTTGGCCTTGTCCTAAGCCTTATCAATAAACGATTATGAGATGGATATTATTTCTTATACACATAAAGACAATTCTATGGTAGTTTTTTAGAAAATGCTGTCAATATAGCACCAGATATGTATCACCAGAAATAAAAAGAACGCATTTCTGAACTCTATCAGTGTATCTCAAAGTATGGCAAATATGGTTAAGAGATATATTCTTTTTATTCTATATTAATGTAAGGCATTATTCTTTCAGGAAACAACATACATAGAAAACATTACTCCAAAAATTCAAAAAAATCAAGATTGAGTTCCTCAAAAGAGATGGACAACATTCCTAATTAAAGTCAGAAAACTAGAAAAAAAGAATTGTATAAATAGTTCAAGTAAACTGTAGCCATGTCCTAATTAATTTCTGCTTCCAGTTTTGTTCCTATCAAAGAATTTGCTGCACTGTAACCAAAATGATCGTTCTTCCTTGCTTAAAATTCTTCAATGGTTTCTCAAAACACTTCAGATAAAATTCTGTCACAACTTCTAAAACTCATCATCTAAAAGATGCCCCCATCAGGTGCATCTTTTGCCATTCTCCCTAACCCTCATTCTTATTCTAATCAGTAATACTGAGTTTCATTCATACAGTCTCACACTTAATATCATGCCCTTTCCAAAGTCAAAATCTTACAATTAAATCATGTGCTTTCTCAATTCTTCTAAGCTTTTGCCACAGAAAACTACTTATCTGTATATACCTCATCACAGTGGAATCTCCCATAAGGCCTACGGCTGTGTCTTTTCAGTTTTCCATTGTAAACACACGACTGGCATATAATAGGAATGTAATACATCCAAGTTTGGTGAATGAATAAGCAATATATTACTAAAGTCATTTAAAGAGTATGTGGGGATGAGAATGTCTTTCAAGGAGAAAGCACTTGCCTAGCCTGCATAAAGCCTTAAGTTTGATCCATAGCACTGAAAAATAGGTAAATAAAATAGAAGTGTATTTGGGCATGTCCAACCAATTAAAGACGTTACTAAATTTATAAGCGCAAAGCCTTTTTACCTACCATAATAAATGGAAAGTTATTTGTTTTGTTTTAGCTTTAAGAGCCATATTAGTAATGCCCTTCATGGAATTAAAGGAGGAATAATCTTAAAAACATTTACCATTCACACACACACACACACACACACACACACACACACACAGAAACACACACACACACTTCCCAAAAAAGGTGACTCACAGAATACTGTAATTTGTACTTACTTGAATCATCTGACATGTCTTCAATTCCTGAAGCACTATCATCAGAATCACCATTATTATCTGTTCGAGTTTGTTGCTTCTGAGATTGTGGTAATTTCTCAAGAGCAGATTTTTCTCTGTGTATAGTTTCAATAGTCACTTTGTTCACAGAAGTAAAGGAGCCTGGAATTTTTTTTCCAGTTTGTTGTGATTCCATTTGTCTCTTGTTTTCTCTCAAAAGTAAACTGGACACCTTTTCTGGGTCTGCTGCACTCATGTTGGCCACCTTTTCTAATTTCATCTGAGAACTAGGTGCTTTTTCTGCCTTCTTCTGTGAACTAAGTGCCCTTCCTACTGCTCCTGCTGCTGTTGCAGGTGAACAGGGCACTTTGTCTGCCTTTACTGGTAAATTAGGTGACTTTGGTGCTTTTTCTGCTTTTGCCTGTAAATTTGGTGCCTTTTCTAATTTTGCCTGTGAAATAGAACTAGGTATTTTTTCAGCTTTCACGGGTGAATTCGGTAATTTTTTTGCTTTGCAATGACTTTGATCTCGAAGAACTAACCCCAAATCTTTAGGACCTGGAACACTGGCAGCATTCACTTTCCATGATTTAACTTCTGTCTTCTCTACACAAGTATCATTTTGTTTGTTTTTTTTACTATTACTTCTGTTTGAAGGGCTGCTCACAATTTCTTTTATGGATTTATCATTTCTAGCTTTCAAGTTTTGATTAGTTACAACTTTAACTGTTTTGCTTTCTTCACAAATAACATTCTTTGGTTCATGATTTTCACTTTTAGAGGTCTTAGGAGTTTCCATTATTTGAAAACGTGCTTCTTTCCAATTGCAATATTGTAAAATGGCAGTTCCAGTAGTTTGGAGTATCAAATCCAGTTTAGGCAAGCAAACTATTGAATTAAAAATAAAATTTTTGTTAGTTAAAATGCAAAACTTTTGCACACCAAAAGAAATCTCCAATAGTGAAGAGACAACCCACAGAATGAGAAAAAAATTTTACCAGCTATTCCTCAAAAGACTAATACCTAAAAATATATTTTAAAACTCAAAAAAAAAGACTCCCCAAATTTAAAGACCCAATCTAAAAATGGGCATCTGAGATGAATAGACACTTCCCAGATAAAGTACGAATAGCAAATAAATATATTTAAAAAAAGTTTGACATCACAGGTCATTTGAGAAATGCAAATTAAAACAACAATGTGATTCCATCTCACTCCAGAAAGAATGGCTGTCATCAAGAAATCATCCAATAATAAATGCTGGAGGGACTGTGGGGGAAAAACAAGTGGGACTGTAAATTGGTATAACCACTGTGGTCATCAGTATGGAGATTCCTCAAAAACACCAAAATTAGAGGTTTCATTTGACCCAGCTATTCCCCTTCTTGATATCTTCTCAAGAAAAGTTAAAAGCATCATACCATAGTGATATATGAACACCCAAGTTTATAGCAGCACAAGTTGTAATAGCTAAGTGTTGGAAACAGCCCAGATACCCATCATCAGATGACTAGATAAAGAAAATGTGGTTCTTGCATATAATGGAGTATTTACAGTGCCATAAAGAAGGATAAACTTGAGACATTTTTAGGTAAATGGATGTACCTTAAGAACATAATTATAAGGGAAATAAATCACACATATATGTTTGAATATTACACTGTTTCTCTTGTGTGAGGAACCAAAGGGTAAGTTAAGTAAGGGCCTAAATGGATAATAGATATTGGAAAGTAGGAAGAAAATGTTTAAGGGGAACAAAGGCAGAGGAGAGGGGAAAGAGAAGGAAGGGAAAGAGAGAAACAAAAGATAATAGAAAGAAAAAACAAACAAGACTTTTGTACATAGGGAATGGAGGGTTGAAGGGAAGGGAGGGGAATGGGAAAAAAAGAATCAAAATACACTATGTATAGGTACAAATTCCCTCTGATGAATATGATCCCTCTCTCTCTCTCTCTCTCTCTCTCTCTCTCTCTCTCTCTCTCTCTCTCTCTCTCTCTCTCTCTCTCTCTCTCTCTCTCTCTCTCTCTCTCTCTCTCTCTCTCTCTCTCTCTCTCTCTCTCTCTCTCTCTCTCTCTCTCTCTCTCTCTCTCTCTCTCTCTCTCTCTCTCTCTCTCTCTCTCTCTCTCTCTCTCTATATATATATATATATAGTGTAACAATAAAATTAATTTTTAAAATAAAATAATATGCAATAGTGAGACATTAAAAACAATTGTTCTCAAAATTGAAGAAACAGTTTAAAAAACAGGAGTAATTGTGTTGAGAAACATTTAAAACACAAACTAAAAGTGAAAATACTGTCTCTTATTAAATTATTTCTGTATTAGAAATCTTTATATATTAATCAGAATTTTTCTTCCTGTTCACTTTGTCCCATACGCCTTAATTCAGTGCTACATCTCTAAAGAAGCATTAGTATATAAATAATTATATAATAATTATAGTCCTGACAAAAAAAATCAAACACTAAGGAATTAAAATGCAGCACTTTGGACCAGGATTTGGCTCAGTGACGCCACACCTACCTCATAAACACAAGGTCCTAAATTCGATGTACCACAGAAACAAAACAAAAACAAAAAAAGTAACACTTTGATTTCATTGGTTAATTTATTAAATTACAAATTTAGGAAAATGTCTGAAGTCATACAAATATTGGATAGGCCAGCTTTTTGTTACTATGACAAAATACCTCACACAAGCAGTTTAAAGGTGAAAAGGTTTATCTTTGCTCACGGTTTCAGTTCATAGCTGGTTGGCTCTACTGCTTTTAGGACTGTGGCAAGGCAGAAACATTATGACAGAGGTTTGGGCAAGGAAAGCTATTCACATCATGCAGCCAGGAAGCAGAAAGAAAGAACACCAGAAAAGGAGTCAAGGGGCCAAGAGACCAAATATAGTCCCCCCAAGATCTGGCCCCTGTGATCTATTCCCTTCAACCAGGACCCACCTCCTAATAGCACGTTCAACTATGATCTTATCAATGGATTAATCCTTTGATGAAGTTAGGGTCCTCACAATCCAATCACCTCTCTAGGAAAACAATCGATCAAGCTGACAAGATTATCACAAACATGCATTGTATAAACACAAAATATTACCTAAAAGGCTTAGAACATATCATTTATTCCCAACCATCTGTATATGCAAAGTGTATCTCCAGAAAAAACTTAGGCTTGCCAATGCATTACTTTTACCTAGATTTTATAATTCCTGTTCATAGTAGAGTCCTCTATACTGTACTGTCTACCTTTGATCTGTCCAGATTTTAATACCATCTTGTCTTTTTTTTTTTCCCCCTAGTACCGGGGATCAAACTCAGGACCTTGTGCTTACCAGACAGGCGTGATGTCAATGAGCTAAATCCCCATCCCCAAATAGGCTCTTAAAAATAAAGTTAAATTAAAAAGTAGGCTCTTTGCTGGGAGGGGTAGCACACATTTATAATTGCAGCACTCAGGAGGCTGAGGTAGAAGGATTGCCATGCATTCCAGGCCAGCCTGGGCTACACAGTGAGTTCAAGGCCAGCAAGGACTACACAGAGAGGCCTTGTTTCAAAAAATGAAAACTAAAAATAAAAGATAGGGCTTTTTTTCTAAGTTATTATACAATATTTTAAGAAATTATGATAATTAAAATTTAAGTCAAAACCATACTGGATTTCATCAATTTTTGGACCAATCTTTTCCAATAAAAGCTATAGCAATTTATACCTGTAAAAGAATGCTTTTGTTCCTAGTTTTTCAAAAACTGAATCTGTTTAATTAGTATATTAACCACTGATAGTTAATGTTAATAATGATTAATATTTGTTAATTATTTTTTGTTTCTTTGTTTTTTGAGACAGGGTCTCACTATGTAGTTCAGACTGCTCTGGAACTCACTGTGTAGTCCAGGCTCATCTCGAACTCACAGCAATCCTCCTGCCTCAGCCCCCCAAGTGCTGGGATTATAGGTGTGTACCACCACAGCTGGATGTTAATTAAATTTTAATTTAAAAATAACACTATTATTCTTAATAAGTTATCTTACACAATTATCAAAAGAACTATCCAAATGAATGATTATTCCTAAATTCTTGTAGAAACGAAAACAAGTTCCTTGAAAAAAATAAAGTACTTGCCTGGCGGCACATGTCTATAATTCCAGCACCACTATAGGTGGCTGAGGCAGAAAGACTGCAAGTTTAAGCTTAGCCTAGGCAACTTAGTGACTTAGTGAGACCTCAAAATAAAAAATGAAAAAGGCTGGGGATGTAACCCTGCAAAAACCCTGGATTCAATCGCCAGCACCATAGATGGATAGACAGATAAATAAATAATTTTAAATGAAAAATAAAAATGGGCTCTTTCTAAAAGATCAGTTTTACATTATCTAGGAACTAAAATATTTTTCTAGTACTATTCTAATAATTGTTTAATAATTTTGTAGATATCTTACAAAAGTCATAAAGACTTCTTATATCATTAATCCACAAATTTGTTTATGAACATGACAAAAGCACTATAGCCCCACCTATTCAGGAGGTTAAGGTAAGAGGGCCAAAAGTTCAAGGCCAGCCTGGACAACTTACCAGGACCCTGTCTTAAAGACAAAAAAGAGCTGGGGATGTAGTTCAAAGGTAGAGTGCTTGCACTGCAAGCACAAGGCTTTGGGTTCAATCCCCAGTACAACAAAAACTCTGTAATCAAGTCTGTATATATAAATAAAAGCTACAACTATGAAAAATAGTTAATGTGTGCTAGAGAGGAGTTTAAGATTCAGAAAATTGCCAAGTTTCACATTAAGTAAATAATTCTTTTCATTAAACTAAAAGTACATTTAAATTGTGAGTAGTGTTATGAAAAAACAAACTATACTTCTTTCCTAACATTCCCTTCCTTTCTGATAACAGTAGCAAATGTTTTATTGCCTCAAAAAAGTAATTTTTTGAGGTAATTTTACAACAAAATTAACTCTTCAATTTTTTGAAGCTATTAAGGTTACAAAGTTTCCCTCAAAAAAAGCTGTAATTACTAGAAATGAAGTATTCTTTGAGGAAACAGGATTTTGAAAATAAGGCTCAGTGCTTTCCCAGTGCACATTGTTAGCAAAATCGGTTCAACCAAAAATATGTCAGTCCTACTTTATAATTCCTGGTTACATTTTTAGAATGTGGCAAATGGATCTTAAATGAGATTCTAACTTTAGCCCAATTATACATATCTTTATTAATTATCAAGAAAATGCTGAGTCCCCTGTACCCTGCCTCACACACATACTGAGTATTGAACCCAGGTCCCTCACACTAAATTATATACCAGCCCTTTTTTATTTTTTATTTTTGAGACAGGGTCTGCCTAAGTTTCTGGACTCAAGACTTTTGATCCTCTGCTTCTGCCTCCCACAGTGCTGAGATTACATATGTGTGTCATTTTCTTTTGTAGTTCTATTTAGAAGAGCAAAGCATTTAGAATATATTTCATTTCATTTTAAAATAAATCATTAAGACACCACATCGGTCCACTTCTACTTCTAGTTCTAATCATCTTTGGTCCTGCGTGCATTCATCCAATGCTAGTTATTTACCAGACATTCAAAATCACAATTAAAAGACTATGTACCCCAGACTGTTTTTCACACCCCTCTTTTCCTACTTCCACTGTCAGCAAAAACTGGAATTATTTCAGTGGAAGCTTGACGCCTTTCTGTAACCTTCCATTGTTTAATTAGCCAACTGGCCTCCAGATCTGAGGCTTGATTCTTGAAAGAATTGTTTGGCTATATTAGCTTAAAAGGTTTACCCAGAATAAATGCTGCATAATTAATGGAAAACTAATCACAATTAATGCAGTTAATGATGCTTAGTGTACTGCCAAATGACCTAGCTCAAAAGCTACCCCACCCTC